ATCACTCTGTTATACCTACTTCTTTAACAAAAGTAGGTATACTTGATTCAATACTAATTTAATTACTTGATTCTACTTGATTCATTTTATTACTTAAACATAGTATATGCATAGGTACTTAAAATTGTTTATTGTATATTATATTATTATCTTATAGGTAATGTTATATTTTATTAAAAAATGATGAAAATATTACGAGTGCGACATCTGTTGAACGTTTATTTCATTTTTCGATCGTGGCAGCAGTGGCTGAGGTTATATTGTATAAAAATGTTATATCCAATGTGAGTGCGACATCTGTTGAAGCTTTGAAAGGTAGATTATATTTTTCGTTCGGTCGTTACACTGGCTGAATATTAATAATAATAATAATGGCTGCTGCAGATTTGTTGTCGAAATACTCCCGCTCACAGGTCTTTGTTCTCCATACGATAATCTGGAGCACCAAAAACGATGACGGCTAGCTCTCGAAAAACACACTGTTCACATTCAACAATTCGTACACCAGATGAAAAATTTAAATTCAAACAACGGCAGGGCTTGCAAACGTTATAATAACGTTATATTTGACATAAACCGATTGAAATTTGTAAACGTTATTTCGTTATTATAACCGAAAGTAATAATAAAAAATAATAAAATACCGCAAAACAAAACATAACGATTAACAAAATATATTATATATCATTATACAAACCATAACGCATAACGTAATTTATAGAATATCATTGAACGAAAAATAACGCAAAACGAAATATTTTAAAAACTATTTATATATTTTAAAAGGTCTTTATATTGGTTTCGTAGAAACATTTATTTCATGCAAACAATCTAAGAATGGGTTATACTATAATTTATATTCCGTATCTGAGCCATTGCCTACCTGCATTAATTATTATTTTCAAATTTAATAGGTATTAAGTATTAACACTATTTTAACTAACGATAAACGAAAAACTTGTATAACGTTTTAGTTTTAAATAACGATAAACACAAAACTTGTAGGTAAATCGTTTTAATTCTGTATAACGATAAACGCAAAACTTGGATAACGTTTTAATTGTAAATAACATAAAACGGAATTTTTTTTCCTGAACAACGGTCTAAAATAAATCAATTTTCAAATTTTTATACTAAATATATTAAACATTTTGAATATATTATTATCATAATGTTCAAACCCAAACAAATTAAAACTTTATATAATTTTATACCTAAGTACCTTAATTTTTGTCAAGTTGTTTTAATCAAAAATTGATATGGTTTGAAAAACCTTAGGATGCTATAAGGGGTGGCGATAATAGTCGATAACAGATAAACTATAGATACAGGCGATAGAGGTAGGGGTGAACATGTCTACCTACCACCTTTCTGCGGTGAATACTCTCCGCGGCCACCAGGGTCAAAATATTCGACCCGATGCAGTTACTCGCTCAGGGTAATCATTTGGCATTTACGTTTGTCTCGATCAGTTGCCTGTAGTTAGCGGCAGCAGAAGACCCTTCAGCTATAATCACCAGTCTTAGCAGACAAACCACGGCTGGCGTCCATATTTCCATCATAGTGAGTATATATATTATATAGGTTTATATTATATATTTATATATTTACCAGTCTGTTGTTTTCTATTGTGTATAATATAATGTATTCAACACCACTAATTTCGTAAAACCGTAGTCCACGCGTTACGATGATACGTTTCGATTCCGTTTAGATGTTTTATCCATCCGCCAATCGTCGTACGCGTGCGTGCGGTTCGATGGCGGCCATGTTGTGCACTTGTCTGGTTTTTTGCAGTGGCGGAGTTTTCTCTACCCATGCAAATAATATGTTACACTTTGAGGGTAGGACGAGGATTAAAAAAAACCGCATGTCAATATTTGTTGCCGCAACGACGTCATAATTTATCACGATTAACAATTTAAAAAAAATTGTAGACCTCCACCGCATACCTACCTATTATACGCGTATACAAATATATATTCGTATATATTATTATATGCAATCACACCTCCACACCGGAAAGCCCGGGACGACTTTCTTAGCTCCACCACAAACATTTTTTAACATAATTCGCTCTTCCCCTCACACTATGCTTTCACAATAATGTGTCGTCCGTTCATTCTGTAGAATATATTTTGTGCGTCACGGTGGAGGCCATTTTCTGACAGTCAATCTAATTGTCGTGGGACAGCGATAACCATACCCGCATACGCTGTCACTCGTTTGCGCACATTCAAAATTTTTTACCTGAAAATCGACGACTCGCTTGCGCACTACGAAGTCAGTCGTTTACCTGATAACGGATGACTCGTTTGCTCATAACGACACATTTACACACAATATGTATATAATATTATCGTCACAGACTGCAGTATAAAATATTATCAAATATTTGATAGCAATATTATCTTATAATCATTTTAGATTTTCTGTACCTAACTAATTTTAGTAGAGTTTCAGTAGTTATGGTTCAGTACAGTGAAGTATAGCTAGGTACTAGTATTTTGATGAAGTAAACTCTTTAATGTGGAAGTAGATATTTCTAATATTTTTGAAACTCGTCTAGGAAAACGATGTTTTAATATCGATAATTATAAATTTAGTGAATATCGTGTTTTAATGAGTGGTTATATTCAAATTTTAGATTTTATTTATATTGACTATACTGTAACGATTTTATGAAAATGTATGTAATACATGTACACATTTTTAATCACGCCTATTTGAAGCAGACAGTTCTCAACCTGTTAAAGTGAGAAGGAAAATGTGTGCGCAAACGAGTTCTGATACTAGGGATTTTTGTCACAGGTAGCCAAAATATATATTATGTGCAATCGAGTTGTAACCATCTGTATAGTATTATATATACACAGGTATATATTTGGAGGTACTATTATAAATAAACTAACATGTTTTTACTCAATTAATCGTTATAATAATATTTCTACGGTCTTGTACGCGCTTGCACATGTCAATACTTTGATATATAATATATATAATATTCAGTGTACGAATTTTACGACAACTTAAACTTATTGTTTTTACAAAATAGTTTGTTACGACTTACTGCAGTAACGAGGCCTCTTAAACGTATATGACACAATCCCCCCCTCCGGTCCCCCGGAGACCTAAACACGGCTGCTAGGGACGATTACCTCAGCGCCGCCACACGTGTACGGGCCACTGCATTTTCTTATCGTAAATAGCTCTCGATGCGTCGTTTATAGTTAAAATACTCTCTATACTCCGTGCCACGAGATAACTCATACGACGGTCGACCGAAACACGTTTTTCTCGAGCAACGAGCGTCCCACTCTCCGATTCCACGTATTCATACGTATTGCCGCGTACTATGCGTTTTACCGTGGCGCGGCGGTGGACATTTGGTAACGCAACGACGGAGTGACTGATCAGTGAACATTCGGGTACGATCGCTGTGGCAACGAGTGTAGATATAAGATCGAAGCAGTGGCGACTGCCGGCCATATTTCAACGTACAATCTTGTCCATTGGAGGCTCTAGCTGTATTTCTAGACACTGTGCATCTACCTATATAAATATAGGTATATATTTTTTTATACTGATAAATATGTCTTGTATTATGCAGCAGCCAAGGACTCACCCCCTCCCCCATCCACACACGTCCACCCACGACCAAAGCAAGGCATCGCTCGACTCGCGTACGACAACCTTAGTGCTGCTACTGAATTTATTATCAGAATATTCGCTTCTCGAAGTTTTTTCCGTTATTATGCTCAGTGGGGCCCATTATTATTCGAAATAAACACACAATAATGATAATAATATATAAATATCTTTTTTTTTTACTTGTACTGGTAAATAATTCTTATTTTCTATAGCACTTAAGAACAACCCGAGTCCCGGGACGATTAACTATAGAGCCACTACTGGAATTTTTTTATCGCAACTCTGCTCACTTCCTTAACGTTGGTTCATTGTTATCCGCGTTTCGGGTGTCTCGCGGACACGGCGACGTGTATGACAAACAGGTTGATGGTGTGCGGCAGCCATTTTAAAACACATATTCGATCGGTTTAGTCCAGCCTCGTGGAGTAGACTATGTTAATGTGTATATACATATTATACATGTTATAGCTTTTTTTTTAAGTCCGTTTGTACGTTAACGGTTTTAGTAGATATCTACAAATATTGATTTATATTAGAGAAAATTATTATTTTCCAATCCGGCCCTGGTTTAACGTGACATTGTCTTATGTGACACATAAATTGTCTATGCGTACGGCATTAGCAAAATACGATTCACATGCTTTAATCAGAAATTACATATTACCTAACTATTATTCTAAGAAATTCAAAATAATAAATAGCTCTAACTTGGTCGATTTTCATTAAGTGTTAATATTTTTTTTTGGACTGTTATAAAAAATACTATCCAAAAACAGCTATCTTGGAAAATTAAAAACTGAATTGCTTAAAATTAATTTTCGGTAGATCATTTTTGAAAAAAAATATTGAAAATATTATGCTATTTAATCAACATTTTCATACTTAAAACTAAAAAAAACCGAATTTAAATATATTAATTTTCCATGGAGGTACTAAGGGTGATACAGTGATACGGGACTTTTGGGACACATTATTTATTAGTTTTTATAATTTATTGTATTTTTTTTTTTTTAGAATAAAGATAAAAATGTCTCACCATCAAGTAACATCGTTCAGAGGTTCTAGAAGAGTAAAAAGGAAACACTACAAGATAGCTCTGAAAAGTACCTGTACCTATATTATCAGTTATTAATTATTTTCGTGCTTTCAATTTTGATTAATTTTTATATTATTTTTTGTTAGCACTCGGAGCATGGTATATCGAGAACCGCGAAAATGGTCTTAGAGGCACTTGATATGAATGCCGTTTTACTATTTACGGAAATAACTAACTGCCGGTTATGTAGCCAATATTTCTAGTCATGGTGATTTTTATATTTTATTATTCTATTATTAGGTCCATACAATGGATGTTACAAAACAATAATAATGTGTATTTGAATGTATTTATAATAAGACTGCAAGGAATTCAGTGCTGTGAACCATGTCTCATGGATTGGATGAACGAGGATGACCCTGATGACGAGATTATTAAGTGTTTAAAGTGCAATACACCAATCAAAGCTGCAGCACATGTGCTGAGTGGAATGGGACTTAAACAATTTTATAAACTAGTTGAACGCAATGATAAAAAAATAAGTAAGGAAGTTGTGATATTTATGAAAAATTTTAGTTTATTTCATTAGAGATTTAGACAAAACCTCTATGAGGCCATGAGGGTCAAATTTAGTGTCATAGCAGTGGTTAAAAGTATAAAAAATAAAAATTTTCAGTTTCCGCGAAGACTATCATGCAAGTGTATACTTATAAGTTTTATTTTATTGCTATATTATATAACTTTTATAGTATTTACTGCGTGTTTAGTATTTCTATCACAAATTATTATTTTTAATATAATTTACTTATAAAATGGAATTAACCAAGTCCCTAGAGCATGGGTGGCATATTATTTTGACGCTACGTATCAAAACTTACTTTTTTTTTTTTTGATCCTGTCGTTAAATTATGAAAAGAGGTACATAAAAACTAAGGTACATATAATGAGCATTCAGCTATTTATCGGTCAATAACAATTATTCAGTTTTCTCTGTATATATTAATAATATATACATTGTGATGTTATTTATTACTAAAAATAAAAATAATATGAATATATATAATATAAATATAAATTTTTTTCGCATGCACTCAAAATTGTTTGCCATCCCTGTCCTAGAGGACCTGAAGACCCTTCGCTTTCAAAATAGCCACGGGTTTGGTTTTAAATGTAATTTTGATACACAAATAATATTATAACTTTATAACATGTGTGTAGAATGTTTTGAAGTGTTTAAGTCTTAATAAGTACCTACCTAACTAAGTTGTTTAATGATATTTAATGATGTTTTCACTTTTTGTTTTAAAAATAGAGAAAAACGGACACTTTGTTTATCCCGTAGTCGGCAAAGTACAGATGTACCAGTTATTCGTGGACTTCGACCGCAATAACGAGGACTTGGCAGATGAAAGAATCCAAAAACCATGAATAATTAACGTCAAAAAAAGTTGGCAACATTTTGTAGCAGTTGCTCATCAAAACCATTTGTGTGCCACCAATGTTTACAACATCATCAACAACAATAAATTACATATATAATACATAACAACAATAATTAATTTAATGTATAATGATAATATAAAACTAACTTTTTTCAGATATTTTAAAGTAATAATAAATCTTTCATAAGTTTGAATATTTTAATCGTTTTTTTTTTTCAAAACTATCTACTTTTTGTTGTCTACGCCACGGTAAAAACTATATTTTTCTATCTCCAAGCCGTATTAAAATAAAGTTCATTTAAGATTAATATAATGGAGAATTTGGTAGCTGGTGACCCAAGCTGCCCCTGAAAAATAATTCGGTTTAGGTTGCCGGCCACCCAATTGGCTTCACAATAAATAAAATCATTTGGGTCGCCGGCGGCCATGTGACAGCCAAAGTGTTAACCTAATATGAAAACTATTTAAAAGTTTAAATAAAGATCGTATCATATAGTAATAATGTAATACAATATGTTAACAAGCTATCAGATACCTAAATGTTGATGAAGATTAAAATGTGTTCACAATCATTTTAAGATGTTATATGAATGTATATGTATCCTGAACCTTTAGATTCTTAGACCATAATATTACTTATAAATAATATTGCTAAGCAACTACTGAAGTTTTTACTTTTTAACTTGTATTTATAGTTTATTATAATTTTTAGTATAAAAAAAAATGTAGCTTACACCTATAAGTACGATTACATATTACCTAACTATTATTCTAAGAATTTCAACAATATACAATAGCTCCTAACTTGGTTCGATTTTCATTAAGTGTTAATATTTTTTTTTGAACTGTTTACAAATACTATCCAAAACAGCGTACGGAATAGTTTAAAAAAAATAGCGGTAGCTAATGAATAAACAACTAATCGAGTTTTAATCAACATGTTCAACTAATTCAAAAACAAAGGTGCTCTGCTCTACAGGGCACGTGAACTATGAGTTATAGTATAAATATAAAAATTGTGAGATGGGAACAGAGGAGAATTCCTAGAATGAAAAGATTATAAGATGAGCAAAATGTCAGTACTTTAGACTGATATACGGATACATGGGTATTGGTTAAAAATATCCTAAAATCCTCGATCCCCCTTATCATTACCCACTCCTCGCGGCGGCGGCGGCGTACTACGACGACGTACGACTATATTGGCGATTGCGACGGCGCGGTCTCTCGGATACCGGTCACCGGCGACCGGCAACCATTTACCAATATACTGTTTCAGCAGACGAGTGACGACCAGCAAGATAGTATATATAGATTAATAGGTACTTGCTGACGACTCAACGACTGTGATTGTTTAGTGAATTCGCGATCCAGCGCGACGGTATTATATTATTATGCTGAAAACTCGGAACAATAATAAAATAAAATAAGCAATCTGGTGATTAATTCATTACCCGTGGCAACAATTAAGGTCGGTGGCAAATCATATTATGCTTTTAATTCTTTGATTTGCCATCATGGTCCATCTATGACTCAAGTCTCAAGCCCATTATACATCAGTTATTAAACATAATAATAAATTGTGGGTTAGATGTAGCGACATCATATTTATTTATAGTTTAAGAAAAAAAAAACTAAAATAGAAAAAGAGATATTATAACAACAGGAGGCCAACGATGCATATGCAATTATGGATTATTATTATTATATACAGTCAAATAAAATCGCGAATTATTTCATAAAAAAAATAGCTGATATCATACCAAAAACACTTCGTTATAACTCCTTGTAAAAAAAAAGCTAAAAAAAAAGTTAAAAAAAAAAATGTTTGTTATGATTAAATCTTTAAAAGACGTGACATAATATGGAATTAAGTAAAATGACATTTTATAATATTACAAATACCTATGATGACAAATTATAAGATCAATAAATTGTAATGTTAAATACTTAGTCAACATATTATGTTTAACTATATTTGGCAGGACTTAGAAGTTAGAAGTATACTTAAATAAATATAACTAAGTATAACTAATCACTACAGTATTTACAGTAATTAATAATGTATCAACAATATGTTGACTTACTTTTAACATTACAATTGATCTTATTTGTCATCATAGGTATTTGTAATAATATTATAAAATGTAATTTTACTAATTGTATTGATATAGGAATACTAATATAAATATTAGTGAAATTTTTATGAATCTACAGTTATTCGTTTTTGAATTACAACAAAATAAGGAACTCGCTACATGAGAAATCGAGTGAATATAAATGTTGTACAAAATTTGAATTTAAAACGCTCATAAAAATTTAATTTGACTTTCTTACAGACATTCTTTTTTTTGATAAATGTAGATAATCTTATAAGGAATCTTGTATTACATTTTGAAACCTTAGGGTTAAAAAGAAAAATTTTTACGAATTCTTAACTCAAAATAATTTGCTTAATTTTCGTAATTTTTTCATATTTTTGTCAATTATTGAACTTTTAATGTTTATAAAAAAAAACTGTGACTAAGGATTTTTAATACTTTTCAAATGCCATTTTAACAATATAGTAGGAACCTTGTACAAAATTTTTAAGCTTTTTTAACCAACAAATAAAATTTTATTGATATTTTTAGAAAAAAACTAAAAAAAAATGGAAAATGAAAATGTGCCTAAACAGTTCAAAATAAATCAAAAAATTTTGAAAATGTTATCGTGTATAGAAAATGCTAATATAAACATTCAGTCAAAATTGCATGTACCGACGGTCATTTGTTTAAGAGTTGCACCAAAAACCAAAATCGATTTTTTCGAAAACAGATTTTAGTGTAAAAATTACCGTTTTTCCTGAATTTCTATTTTGTTTTTCACTCCGCTTTTGAAAACTACTGAGAAATGTTCACTTTTGACCACCCAAAGTACCAACTAGATTCACTTTTGTATCAGAAAAGCTACTGTTGAAGAAAATTCAAGCACTTTTACTGTCCTAAAACATGATGATAGACACAAAAAAAAAAAATAAAAATAAACCACACATCATTGTAAAATCAATACATTCATCGTTTCACTCAGAATCTAAACTGAATTTAAATATATTGATTTTCCATGGAGATACTAAGGGTGATACGGGACTTTTGGGACACACTGTTTGTCAATTTTTAAAAAGTAAATACTACAAGGTAGTTCCAAATGTACCTATTACCACAGATATAATATAAACATTAGATAGACGACTCAACTATTCCTACAATGTAATAATATGAAGTCGACACAATACTCTTATTAAGGTGTGACTGCTTAAACTCCAAAACTATTAAATATGTATTACAAATTACAATATCATTGTACAGCCATTTACACGTTACCCCAACAAAACATGGACTAAGAATTACTTCCTTATTTTATCAAAAAGATATGTTTTGAGTCTTTTAAAGTAAGTATTTTAAGTCGATATTGCATTGTACTCCTAATAAAAATAAGATTATAAAACAATTGATAATTTTTATTTATTAAACACACGGATTTAAATATGTACTCTATATCTTCATTGGATTATAAATGATTAAGATAAACTATGACAAAAAAAAAAAAAAATTTATGTCCCAAACTAAATGTATGGATAATGTTGATGAAATTCTTACTGACATTACGTAGACTAGTGTTTTGAGAATTCCGTTATAATAAGTCCAAAACTAGTAAATTGTTAAAACTAGTCTATTGCGTTTCCAACAAATTTGACTTATAATATCAGAATATTATACATTGATGTTTAAAAAAAATTTATAAATTATTATAAACTACTATAGCGATATAATCTGTTTATAAAGATATACTAAACAAGTTTCAAGCTCTCTAATAAGCACATGGTTGAATTCTAATGATCTAAGTTCATATTAAAAATTAACTAAAATGAAAAATATAACTTTATGTTATGTCATATTACAACTTAATAAAGTAAAACAAAAAAGAAGAAAAAAAGATTTAATTTAATATTAAATATAAGAGAAAATATATCTTATACTTAGTGACATTATAAAAATTGGTTAAATTAATATTATATTTATGTAATAACAAGACTCTTCTAATTCTTAGACGTTGAGTTCCAAAAGTAAATGCCATTAAATGGTACAATTAAATTACAATTATTTTATGATCTTGTATTTATAACAATACAAAGGATGGAATTTTCTTGTATTAACTTTAAACATATGGTATAATACAATTTGCAGCTCATAATTTTTGACCAAAAGTTCAATCCTTAAACTAGTGGTAAATTATATTAGTAAAAAACGATTTAGTTTTGTTAAGAATGATTTTGATTAATTAATTTATAGTTGAGGGTAAATTTGTTGTGTATAGGAGTATGTAAAGCACCGAAATGCTACCCATAAGAAAATAATAAATAACTTCAGTTATAATATCTAACATATTATCGTTATATATAAATAGATTGATATATTATACATACCTATTATTATTATCACACACATTTTTTACAGATGATATACAATAATTAGGGGTCTTAAATAAGTAATTTCAGTAGTTGTATTGTAATATTTTGGAATATATAAATTTTTAAAAATAATAAACCTATGTAATAATAAATTTGAATTCGATAATAATATTTTTAATACACTTCAATGTGATTATGTTCCTTTGCTAGATAGATCCCATAAGATGGTATTAATTTCATTATTTGTTAAAAAAATATAGAAGTATTCGACTCCATTCTTTTGGCAAAATATTTTCAACAGAAATTTTAAATCCTGTTAGTAAAAGACAAAAAATAACTTACTAAACAAATAATTTTTATGGGCCAGTAGTAGGTATAAAATATTATATGTAGTATTTTTTACTTTATTTTATTTTATTTAAATTAATATCGAAAGATTACTGGGCCTCACTGAAAAAAACTCTTGTGGAGGCCCAATAGTATAGACTATAGGTACCAGTTGTATTTTAAATATTTGTATTATTATTAAATTAATT